TAGAATTTATTTAGCTACAAAATTTTCTTTGATTCAATTTTTCAATGTAACTAGAAAAAAAGTTGTTTAAAGACTATGAGGAATTTTGTTACAACCGTCCCAACCCCTGGGACGATTGTAATAGTAGAGAGGGACAATTGTACCATACTATTTATAAATAAAACAATAGTATTTATTGGTTTTATTAATAAAAATACATAATAAAAAGAAAGGCTCAAATCGAATAAAACAAAATAAATCAGAAGAGCTATAGAGCCAAAACAAAACAAATTTTAATGTACATATGATACAGTTGACATTAAGTAAAATAAAAGTAAAAACGAAATAAAAATATGCAGTCTACATCAACTAACATTTCGACTACCTTCATTTTTAAAGTTATTAACAAGTATGTATATGAAAGTGGTTGACTACAATAGATTAACATAGATCACTAATTATAGAAGTATAATGAAAATTATTAAAAATAGACCTTCGTTGTTCAGGCCTGATTTCAGTTATATGTAGGCGACGGAAGGATCCTGGATTTCCAAACATTCAAATATCGCTGAGTATCCAACAGTGAATAGATATAGTTGTCAAAAAATAAATCCTTGATATACGCCATGGTTCGATTACAAAAAGTATTCGCCAAATATAAAAAAGTTGCTGATAATGCTATTAAGTAAGCCGAAGTAACCCAGTGAGAAATAACAATGGAATCGACATCGAATCGATGTCGATTCGACGTCGAAATCATCGAATTGACGTCGATTCGACATCGATTCCATTGTCATTTCTCACTAGGAACAATCCTTCTTACAAAATTCAGATTCTACAGTATAAAATTGAATAACTGACCCCAGGCATCGATGTTACTATTGTCCTCTAATGGTATTTTATGATTTATAGTAAATTTTTTGAATAAAAACCTAGATAAAAATCAACTCAAATGTGAAAAACATCAACACAGATATTCATTAAAACATATTAAAATAATACATTATACCTTTGTTATAAAGAACAAAAATATTTTGAATTTTGTGCACGCAATAAAAGTTACTTGATGCATGAAAAAAGTAATTTCTGCTTCTGCACTCGTGCACGTTCCGCGAAAATCAACATGTAACGAACGATTCAATGCCTATCTGTATATAGAATTTTATCACGCGGCCACATACATATATCTGTTATAGTTTAAGAAATATTGACGATGTTACTATTGTCCCGTGTTACTTTTGTCCCCGGTCTCCCCTACACAATATGATTAGTCTAATTATTTTATATACATAACATATATAATTATTCTATATAGTATATAAAAGTATTAAGGTAGAGATATAAAAAGGTCAATAGTTTCCGAGATATTTTATACTATATTATGGCACATGTTGACATATATTGACATAAAATATTAAAGAAAGAATGTTATTGGATCGTAGATGTGAATACACAACTAATAGAAAATAAAAGCCTTTTAACAGTCGAAACTGGATCTTAAATGCTTAAATAATTCGATCTCATGTGTCATCATGAAAATTGTGCGCCGAATCGATTTTTCAGACTTTTAAAACGTAATCCGACAAAACTATAATAGTAATATAATAATTTGATGACATCTTGGAAAGATCTTAATAATGCTGATAAACTTAATTATTAAAATCTGTAAATAATTTTATTGCGAAAAACATTACCTTAGCCGAGATTCGAACCCAGATCTCCCTCTTGCTGGATGGGCATCCTCATAGTCAGATTACCGAGGCCTTAGGTAATGCAAATTAAAAAATTTGGTAATTAAATTATGTTACCACAAATTATTATATTAGTTCTGTTAGGATCGCGTTTTAAAAGACTGAAAAATTAATTCGGCGTACAGTTTTCATAATAACATATAAATATTGAATATCTCGTAAATCATTAATTTTATTATAATCGTACCTTAATACTTTTGTGAATAGAATAATGAAAAGAATCAACTGATGTAAAAAAAAACACATAGTTGCTTATTTAAAAAATTATCTATTTTGCTTATGTATTTTTTAAAGCAACTTATATGTTTTCCTTATACAAATTGATTCATCTCATTATTCTGTTTACTTTTATATGTAGAATATAATTAGACGAATACATAAAGCCGATCAGACAATTAAATACCAACGATAAGACCAAAATTAAAACAAAGAATGCACTAACAGCAGAAATGCCAGTAATAGGGATCCTACAAGGAGATAGCTTTAGTCCAATCCACTTTAACGTTGTGATGAACGGGGTAGTACAAGTGAAGAAAGTGGACGGAGGATTTAAAAAATGGGGCAAACAACCGACAAAATAATATGTTATACTGATGATGCTATCATAATGACCTAAAGCAAAGACGAACTGCAACATTTACTGTACAGGTTCACCAGGACTTCAAAGGAGCTTAATATAGAAATCTCGATCGAAAAAATTAAATCCATGGTAATACCTAAAGAACCTGAAGTAAATTTTAGTGATATACGACAGCATTATTAAATAAGTCATAAGTTTTAAGGGTAAAAGTACCGATTAGGGAATTAAGCTCCAATGACCTTGACTTTGATATATGTTGTCAAGGTCATGATCTTGAGTGACTTTCAACAGGTTTTAACTGTCGCTGTTATTCGTTAAAAAGTTATTAACAATCAAAGTAGGTAATTATTTCACTACTTTGCGTGAAAAGTCGAATGGCTCTAGACAGGGAGGAGGTATGGGGTGAACCAATTAGGAGAGTACAATTATGTGAAGCGAGGTCCATCACCTTCCCCTGCTTAGAGGCGTACGACCTTCTAGATAGAGGGAGTGTAATGTAGACCTCGCTTTGCGTGGAAAGCCGTGCGCTCCTAGGTGGGGAGGGAGGGGGGGAGGGAGATTGGACGGACCTCGTTTCGCGTGAAAAGTTGAACGTTCTTAAGCAGGGGGAGGTGTAGGATATTACTTAATATTAAATATGTATAGCAGAAATGTGACGTTATCTCTTAAACTTATTTTGTTAATAACTTTTTAAATGAATAACGAGCGCTAAAACCTGTTGGAGGTCACTCAAGGTCATGACTTTGACAACATATGTCAAGGTCAAGGTCATTGGAGCTTGGTCTCTTAATCGGTATTTCAGCTTCGTATTGGTACAAAAATATAATGCATGTACTAAAATATGTGTGAAACCATGTACAAATGTAAATTATCTAATAACATGTCTGCTGATGATCTGTGATTCGGTTATACTGATAGGGTGTCTCCGACTTATGGAATCGCCTGTCATGAGTAGGTAGAGCGGACTGAACTGAGTCGAGAAGTCTTTTACTATTTTGTAATTTTCGCAATACTTTAGGAGATATTAATTTCTAAAGATAATTGAATAAGCACGTATCCGCGCGAATTTCCGCCAAGTACGCTCATCGGTACCGGTCGCTTGTTACACGGGGAGTAGGGACTGCTTGGTAGATGCGCCGCTTGTGTTATGATATTTAAGGCGCGTCTACCACGTAGTCCTCACGTGACAAGACCGCGACCGATGGGCGTATACTTGGCAGTAGACACTCGCTGCGTGGATACGTGCTTTGGTGATTTTTAGAGATTAATATCTCTTAAAGTATTGCGAAAATTGCACAAACTGTGTTAAAGGATTTTTCGACTCAGTTTAGTCTGCTTTACCTGCTTACGAGAAGTGATTATCCATAGGTTGGGGACATCCTGATAAAGAGCACGACTAACAATAGAGTTTTTGCAATAACGTGTGAATCCAGATACAGTGAATCCTAAAGTTACGTTATCTTTTTCTTAATTAGTTGTTAAGAAGACAATCTGACCTTAGCGTTCATCGTATGTGGATGAACGGTATTGCAAAAACTCCCTAATAAGGTGCGAAAACTGATACCATCTAGCGGCACTCCTACAAAGATGAATTCAAAGCTTTTCGTTACAATATTAACTAATTTCATTATTTTTCAGATATTTTCATTAATTTTCCTTACAATTTATAGTATTTCAACATATCTCAGTGTACAATACACAGTAAAAGATTATACGTTTTACATTACTTTTCATTTTTCTTTCATACATTTTCAATATCTCTAGGATTTATGATATTTCAGTAATATAATTCAGTGTTTAATATCTCTGAATAAATTAGTAAGAATATTAAATATTATATTTGCGTTAGTTTTTATTACTTTTTATTACTCGTCATTAATTTTTATTAATTATTTTTAAAATTCATAATATTTCTCAGTATTAAAAAACTGATTTATGTTGAAATACTTTCAAAATATTTTATTTTCATTTCTCATTTCAGCAATTTCATTGTCGATTTCAATCATTTCAACCATTTTTTTCCACCAGGAAAGTCAAGACATACGAGAAGAATGCGGAACTCAAGTAGTGAGACTCATGAGAGCAAGGAGATGTCATCGGAGAAATCATGTGGACAGGATGGGTTCCGATCGAGTGGTAAAATGGAAAAGATTGGAAATCCCTACTTTCAGACGACCGTCCGGAAGATCATCCGAAAAATGGGTACGAGAGTTGGACTTCTGCTTCGAAGGAAAGTTAAGAGAGCAGAAGAAACAGGACAGTCTTAATAGAAAAGGAAGAAAAAGAATTAGAGGAATCATATTATATAAAAAAAGATTATATAATTTTATTTAAAAAGTGTAGGTGACCCTCGTATCTTTCTGGTGTCTCCATATAAAAAACAACGTAATCAAAATATGTCTTCTTCGAAATGGTTCTATGTTTGTAACATTTTTCAGTTTTTTCCAATATTTATCGAGTTATTTACTTATCACACTTTATATAGGTCCCCAGATAGCAATGTGACTGTCTTGTTGCTGGCATGTTGCTTGCTAAGTATACATTGCTAAGTATGTTGCTAAGTATGTTGCTACCAGAATTGCAGCAACTGAGTCACTTGTTGGCAATTTGATGCATCCACAATATGACATCACCAATTTGTGCGATTTTGCTGAGACACGCTTTACTATCATCATGTATAATTATTTTACCTATATATCCTATCTTGCACCAAGGAATCCATTATAGTTCCGTCTATCTCGCCGAAGAATTTTCCGGTATGCTCATGACGTTCACTTATAATAATAAATCCATTGTTATCTAGAATGTAACAATCGAGCTCCTCCGAAGCGCAATTCTTTTTACATCCTGTCATTCCGGTACACTAAAATAACGAATTTACTCATATTTCATGATAATTATGCGTAAAGAAAAAAATACGTTTACTTACTGTCGAAGTAATGTTCACAAAATGGGTTGCCAAAGATGAGTGTTGGAATTGCAAACCTACTACCACTGCTGGAGCTTTGTGACCTTTTCCGATGAATACAGCATGGGTGGCGGTGACGAGTGGATCGGTCGTATCAGCTAATAATTCAAAAATCATATAAATGATTGATACAGCATCAATACGCAGCGACGTCAGTCAGTTAGTTAACATCGAACAGTGAGAAAAGACAAATCTTTGGAAAATCTAGGGTTATATGTACGAGTCCTATATATTTGATTATACATAAGCTCACGCATGAAAAAACAAAGAAATAAAGTTTATCAATTATATTATTCATATTGGTATAAAACTTATTTTAAATTATGTGTCTATAAAGTATTTCGGTACAAAACAAAGGACCTAACCGAATAAGCATATAAAAAGTGCCTCTAAACCAAATCCAATTTTGAGTACGTCACATTGTTGAGCTCGGTAAAAGATTATTTTACATTATATTTCAACCTGCTAAATTTATCCATGTAGTAGTAATAGTAAAAAACGTCAATTTCAATTTTTTTTATTTTCCTACCGTGTGAATTAAAAAATTAAAAAAAATTTTACACAGTTTTTAGCATATTACATCTAAAAAAAATGTTTTTAGATTTTTGACGAAAAATTTGAATTAAAAAAATTAAAAAAATGTTTAATGAATGTTTTTCATTGAAAATATTTAAATATTGTCTTCAAAAAATTATGGAATTAATCATTCCATTATGAATGAAATATGTCGTATTCAGATTTTTTAAAGATGTAAAGCATTGTTTCAAAAATTTAAAACCGGTTTTTTAATATTCTTTATTTGTATTTTCCCGCCAGATATGTATTTAATATATTAAGTGTTAAACTTAATTCCTGCCGTTTTTCGTCTCCAAAATTGATTTGTTTCGAAGGGAAGTACCTTAATCAAAGTATTATTAATAAAGTATTATTAATTAGTAATAAAGTAGAAAATGGAGGAAATTACTTTGATTAAGGTATTCACTCATCTTCCCTCCGAAATAAAAAGTCAATTTTAGAGACGAAAAACGGCACGAATTAAGTTTAACACCTAATACTATTATATTTATATACCTAATACTATTATATTGTATACATTATTATATATGTATAATAATACATACATTATTTTGAAACATTTTATACAATATAACATGTACATTCACAAGTAACCGATTTTTTAAATGAAATTATAATATAAGGAAAAAATATATATTTAATTTTTTTGATATTTAATTATTACAATAACGTCGTTTGTGTCAAAAAATTTGTGTGTATCTCGGTTAGTTTTTTTTTTATTGAAACCAGTTTGAGGGCCACAAAGAATATTCCAAAGTTGAAAATAAGAGCCACTTTAATTTTTAGAAATGTTTTAAAGCAATTTTATTATTTTTTTATCCAATTTTTCTTTATTTACAAATGATATGTAAGAAACGTTAAAGCTGGGAACTTTTCATAAAGGCATTTAGGCGATACGCGCATCGACATAGTGTCGGACACAGTGCTATCCAATAACGATACAACACGACACAAGTTTACACAGCCAAAAGGGGACTCTGTCGATGCGTGTCACCTAAAAACCTTGATGAAAAGCTCCCTATAAATTTATGTTAAAATACGCATATTTACCTGCGTCAAATGGTACGCTGAAAACGAAGCTTTCCGGTTCTATGGAATGTTGATCTACTGCACGTTTGTACCACGATGAATCCATGGCTCTTGCATGTCTTTCAGCGAACCGCCTGCGTGCAGCAATTAATTTTACAAGATTGGATAATAAATCATATTAAACATCCGTCGTTTTCCAAAATTTTTGATTTAACATTAAACAAATACTGTTTTACGTATGCATAATTCTTAGCATTTATCCGACAGTCTTATTGTTAAAAATAGGCTCACGGTTCCTCGGTGTTTCCGTCATTCTGTTGATGTTCGTGCCATCGCAGGAGTCCGCTCCTGGTCGCGATGAAGCTCCTGGTGACGCCGAATCTACCCTTGCCCTGACTGTAATTGCAAAACAAGCTATGTAAACTGTATTCTCAGTGGAACAGCAAATACGCCATTGGTATGCAATTATTTGCATATTTGGCAGCTGAATTGCAAATCAAACTAATTGCTTTAATCGTAGCACATGGAGCGATTTCCGATTGATAGTTTTGAGTTTGCAACTTCTCTTCCGTCGATTAAAATACGAGGAACAAGTGCGAGATGAAATACAGCTACGAAAACGTAGATTTGATGTAGCCGGACATTCGAGGGTCTTACGTTAACGTATACCTATCAATTTTGGTGTTTTATAGGTTTGATAATCTGAATTGGATGCAACGATATATTTAAATATATACAACGGTATATATAATTTTAATATGCAACGAAATATACAGGGTGTTTGGCGACTACCGCATTTTTTGTCATACGTGGGTAGAACAGCCTATACTGAATCAAAAAGTCCTGTACCATTTTGAGGTGTCAGCAATAGTTAACGAGATATTAACGTTTAAAAGGTAGCCAAATACGCGCGTCCGCCCGACCTACTATTGCCGAAGGCACAGCCCACCGAGCGCACGGCGCCCCGCT